GTGTTCGGAGGTATGGAGTACTCGACTCTGTCTGGAGAACCTAGATTATGTTTATCATTGTCAAATCTAGTCTAGGGGGCCAGACTCAGGTTTTCCTATAGTTTTTTTAGGGGGTGGGCAATGAAAAGCTTGGTTAACTTAGGCCAGGCTACATTGGAAAAGATTCAAGAGGTTATTGAGCCCAAACCAGCCATGGCCAGAGAAAATAAGGTTCTTGTCCTTGTCCTAGGTGTCACAGTGAGGCAGTACCACTCTGGGTCCATTCCTTTGCTGGTGCCATCTCCACTGGAAGAATTGCATGAGCTTTCGTCAGAGCTTCTCCTGAAGGATCCTACCAGAGAGAAGGGCAAAAATTGTGGTCACATGCGGGCTACATTGGGCCACCCTGAGCTGGGACACTATTCTGTCTCTTCTTCCATCTTCTTTTCTTCCCCACTTCTCTGGGCATGTAGTTGAAAGGCCAGCTGCTCAGAGCCCCATTTCAGATGAGGAAGCAGAATGCGGGTACTTGCAGGCCCAGTCAGTTCTTTGCCTCTTCTATCACCTCTTTTATTCCTCTAGAAGGTGGTTCCTGGGATACACTCTGTCCCAAATCACAGAATCAAACAGAGAGGATGTCAGAGGGAAGAGTAGGTGTCACCAAAGAGGCCTCTTTCTTGCCAGGGAAGCTACAGGGAGAGAACAGCCTCTGTTGACAGTATATCCTGGGGGCCCCCTCACAGCTGGTGTGGGCCTGTGCCTGGTGGTGTTACTTCCGATGTCCCAAATGTGTTTCCAGAATTTCCCCCTCAACAGACTCTCTTGATGACGCCACTGCCAAGTTGTGAAAAATGGATCAAGGGCACAGGCTAGCTTCGTGGAGGTCAAAGCAAGCAGTTAAAATCTCATAGCTGAAAGACCAATGCGTGCTCACAGGTGACAGTGCTTTGCTCTTCCTGATTCTGTCTATTTGTCCTACCCTTCCTCCTCTGTAAGCTGAGGAGCTTGTTTGTGGTTGGTAGCTGGATTTCTCTTATGGAGCCCTGGTTATCATTTGCCCCATGGTGGCTGTGTGCTCCTGTGCACTCAGGACAGTGGGCACCTCCTCAGGTGACTGTGTCAGCCCCTGCTCAGCACTGCCCATGGCTTCCTAACGTCTGCAGCACAGAGCCCAAGCTTCTTCTATGACAACAAGGGTCTGACCTTCCAGCACTTTCTCCTGCTGTTCCTAGTCACGTTTATAGTCAAACCACATAAAACTGTTTGTGGATGACAGGATACTCTACCGGTTCTGTTTCTCTACCTATTTTCAAGCAGAGTCCTCTTTCTGGAATCACCTGCCTCTACCCACCTTCCACACAAACACCTTCTACTTATGTGCCTTTAAGATCCAGTTCAGATGTCATCTGTGCTATGTAGCCTTCCTAAGTCCCCACAGCATTAATGACCTCTTCATCTGTGCTCCTACAGTCCTACCCTCTTTAGTACTTACTTCTACATGTTTTTTCTTGTGTCTGCATTGGGTGGCCTAGTAAAAGACAAAGCATATGAGCTTGGCTTTCCAGTCAATTTGAAATCTGCCCTGCTATTTACTAGCTGCATGTCTTTGCAGAGATTAGCCAACCTTTGGGAGCCCCTTCTGTCTTTACTGATAAATGGACATGATGCAACTATGCTGAAGTATTTTGTTGAGAATGAAATGAGCTAATCTGTGATATACTCAGCATGGTGCTGGACACATAGTAGTTCTCAATAACTGGTAGGGTGCTGGTTGTGGTTATTGTGAGTATTTTTGAAACATGAAATCTGAGAGATGAAAGGGAGCCAAGGAGTCATTCTTGTGCCTACAAAGCCTCCTCTCTATTCACTTGTCAGATAGTTATCTAGCTTTTTCTTGAACTCTGCTTGGGACAGAGAGCTCACTTTCTTTCTAATCTTTTATGAGCCATAATTATGATGGTGCAGAGGTTTGCTAGTACTTAGCTGTTAGTATATATATATATATATATATTTGGGGGACTGTTTTAAATTGCTGCTTCTCTGTGTGTATGTGTATCTATTTTTATGCATATCTGCATGTCTATACATCTTAATGGTGTTTGACCACGAGAGATTTCCTAAAGAGTCTTACTTTAAAAGCTGGATTAGATAGTCACGATGGAAATTAACCTCCAAAGCAAAGTTGTGAATGGCTTCGTTGTTGCTTAGACCTTTTTTTTGGGTCGATTCACATCTGTTGCTCGCTCGCCTTGGAGTATAATGCCAGTAGAAATTGTGGCTTGTGGTGTTGCTGTAGCTATCAAGCATACTCTGTCCTGTGATAGGTGAGGTGGGAACAAAATCTGAGTAATAACATAGTACATCTAAAAATAGTAATATTTTGTTGACAGAGAGAAGATGAACTTATTTTTTAATGTGGTTTAGGAGAAAGAACTCTTAAGTTATTTTGTGGTCCTCTGGCATTAGTATTCTTGCCTGTAAAGTGGCAGCACTGGGCACTCAGAGATGGGGTAAGGAAGCCCAGGTGGTTCTTTCTGTACCTGAGAACTCATTACTCCCTTTCCCATTCATCCACAGCAGCTCTATTTTTAGTTTCTGAAACTGAGGTATGCCTTCGTTGCTTATGAGACGTTATTTAAAATAAAATATTCTGTTGCTTAAAACATTTGAAAACCTGTGATCTAGATTATTTTTCAGGCCCATTCCTGCTCCAAAAACTATTACAGCTCTAAAATACAGCGAAATTATATTTTTAGCAACTTTTGGATACATGTTTAGTTTTTAAAAGTTTTCGAAAATGAAACAGGATTTAGCTTCAGAAACTTTTTAAAGTAATGTTTATGTCTTTTCTCTTTGATTTGCTTAACTGCAGGGAAAAATTTGTTTTTCTCCCACTTAATCAAAATCCCACAAATGCCAAAAAAAGTCATAGGCCTGGTGTGGGGCAGGAAGAGAAGTATCATTCTTTATCATTCTTTTGTATCTTTTTCATCCCACGCAGTCCTTAGAGAAACTATGACTTAGTTCAAGTATGACTTGAGCACTGTTCTCTTTTCAGTAATTCCTTTTCCTCTCTCCTGATGACCTGAAGGAACCATAAGGTGAAAATAAATCATTTTGCTGAAATTCCTCACTTTATAGATGTGAAGAATGGGGACACTATGACAGGGACACATCTGTATTGGAAAACGTAATAAGCCAAAACCTGACCTCTGAACTCCTTTAGTTCTCTTTCTGGTAGGTCTAGAAAACCTGATGTTTCAGTTTTCTTGTTGTAAAATGGGGGTCATAATAAGATCTGCCTCATGGGGTTGTTTAGATATAGAAATATCTCATTTAGGAACCCTGCTCTTGTCTTTCATTCTCAAAACAAATTGTTCAAATAATTTCGTCTTTTGGCAATCCATGCCCCCAGATCACTGTTTCTCTGCTGGGTGAGTGAGAGAAGTAACTGGTTTGATTCAGCTAGATGAACTCCATGTTAATACACATATGTGGGGTGCTTAATGTTATCTTTGCTGGGTAATAATGTCTTACCACAGTAAAGTGCCTCCCGAACACCTTTAGGCACTGACTTTTAGTGGGGTGACCTCAGATTGTGCTACAGATGTGTGGGCAGGTAATTTTTCATCAAACAATTCTGTCATCTCATCTGGAGGCACTAGGTTCTTTCTCTGCTAGAGTGGGGGGGGGGGCAGCCATGCCATCCCTAACACCCTCACTCCTAATTTCTGGAAAGTGAATGCCTACTATCTCAGAGGTGAGGATTTGGATTTAGACATTATCATTGTCAAAGTTACATGAATGGAACTTTACTTGAACAGTAAAGAAAAACTAGTCCTCACTTTTGTATTACTTTTGAGGGGCAGGCAATTATCTGACAGAAAATAAAAAATTCTGTAAGAGTGACTGGAAGAAATACTACCTGTCATTGAAGAAAATTGTTGTATAGGGCACGTTGTACTCTGATTGTCAGGAACACTGAGGCCCAGGTTTGACGTGGCCCTGGGGTGGTGGCTTCACCTAGAAGGGAGTTTGACGACTAGTTCTGTGATGTCAAGGCTGTGATCAACTTGAGCATGGCTGCAGCGCCCCCCAGACTCCCACCCCGTCTTTGGTTCTTAATCTCTCCTCCCTCCACTCCCAAACTCCCAGCTGCATACCTGGTCTCCTTCTTCCAGAGCTTTCTACTTTACTGACATTGTGAATGACCTAGGAGAGCACTGACAGTGAGCTGCAGCTTTGTGGAGCTGGAAGTCTTTTCCAGCATCAACAGCCCCGCAGCCAGACCCCAAGAGGACCCCCTGAGGAGTGTGAGGCATTAATCTGCAGAAACCTACCTACCTCCTCACTGTTACATTTTCTTCTTCCCGCCCAGAAGGGGGGTGGGGGGAGGAGAGAAACTTCCATTAGCAAAAAACAAGACAACGCCCCCCAACCCAACAAACCACCAACACCAACACCAACAACAACAAAAAACAAAACCATTCAGGACTTTTCTGAGTGTGCCGTGTGGTTACTTTGGTCCCTATCAATTGCTTCATTATTTCAAGATGGACCCGGCTCTCCCGCGGCCGTGTAAGTGAGCGCAGCAGCGGGAAGCTCGAGGCAGCACCGCGGCTGCTGTGAGCCGCGCCACCCTCCGGGGGACGCCCGCCGCCTTCCCTCGCACCCGCGCGCGCCCAGCTCTTTCTGGGCAGCGGGAGCCGGAGCCCGCGCCGCAGCCCGGCAGGGGCCCGCGGTGGCCGCCGCTGCCCTGAGGGGGCGGCTCCACCGGGCGGAGAGTGTGCCCTGCAGACGGCGCGGCCCCGCGCCCCTCCCTCCGCGCCCGCGGTGCCAGCCCAGACGCCAGCCCCGGGGCGCTGACAGACGACTTTTCTCACTTGTCAGTTTCTCGCTTGTCAGCAGAGCTGCTGGTAAGTGAGAGAAAACAGAGAAGCGGTGGCGGTGGCGGGGCAGGGGGGCGCGGGGCGGGGCCCGGGGACTCGGCCTCGGCTCCGACCACCCTGCCGGCTTCTCCCCAGTCCCCACTTTCTTCCTCCTCCTCCTCCTCCTTCCTCACCTCCCCACCCAATCTTCCCTTTCTCCTCTAAACCTTTCAGCTGCCACGTTGATCGCTTCTGGGCTTTGTGTAGAGGGCGGAAAAAAGAACTACGAATAGACCCGAGGTGCTTTCCCTCTTAGCCGTAGCACGGTCCCTATTACTATCCCTGAGCTCCGGCCCCGGACCATGGCTGGTTCCCGCAGCTGCCTCCGGGGCGCACCTGGGGCCGCGGTCGCCCGCAGTCGGCGCAGGCTCTGAGTCTGAGCCTGGGGGCGCCAGAGGGGGAGCGCGCGGAGAAAGTGACAGGCACACGCGCCGGCTGGGGTTTGCTGGCCGAGCCGGGGAGGAGGCGGGAAGGGGACAGCCCAAACTCTCTCAGCTTCAGCCCAGTGATAACCTGCAGCTATGGAGTCCCCGACCAAGGAGATAGAAGAATTTGAGAGCAACTCTCTGAAATACCTGCAACCGGAACAGATCGAGAAAATCTGGCTTCGGCTTCGAGGGCTGTAAGTAAACCTATTTACTTCTCTCATCCCCTTGCCCGCTCCCACTCCCATCCTTATTTTGCTACACAGCCCCAGTCACCGCTGCTCACTCGATTCCTGCGTGGCCCTTTAAATATAGCCCTAGAAGTTCCACAACTGCTGCTCTGTTCATTATAGTCACTGCCACCTTCCTTCCGACAGGGAGAGGTTGTCTTTCTGTCTTGCTATTCCCAGTCATGCGTTCTTTGGGAAAGAGATGTCCTTAGATGAGCTGTACACAGTACTCAAGAAGATGTTTCAGTTCTTCTTTGCCCAGAGAGAAAAGTTTGGAAACCCAGTGAGGGACTTTTAATTAAAGCAAAATTTTTTCTCTGCAAAATGCTTGTAAGTACTTGAGCAGGTGGTTCAAGAACTTACCTCAGTTCAAGTTCAACATGCATCTGACCCTTACATTCTCACCTCCCTCTCCTGAGCCCAGTTGAGCTCCTGATATTTTCTTAGGATTCTTCATAGTGGAAAAATGCTTGCTAGAGGGAAGGACTTATTGTGGAGGAAGTGGGGGTCAGAAGCAATATCGGAGTTTCCTAGCAATATCGGAACAGTGAAATGAGGCATTTGCTGTTAATAGAGTGGCTGACATTCTGGTTGGACGGATGGGCAGAGATCTCTGAATGTCATTCGTTTCATTGAGTTCAGTCTGATTTGGGGTACTGAGGAGAGGTGGCCTGAAAATATGTGGTATTTTCTGTGAAAAGATTTCTTAAGTGATGAACTGCTGGTTACCCCAGTCAGAAAGCTGGAGTGAGCGTTTTATGTGGACAGCCTGCTGCTCAGTGGTCTAGGCAGGTCCCAAAGACACCTTCTCTGACTAGCAGGTACTCATTTCATCAGATGTTTGGTATCAGACATTTAGTGTCATTTAAAAACCTAGTTTTTCCCCAAGCATATCGTCTAGACTTTTTGTTCCTACCAAGGGCACTGATGGGAAACCCAGCTCCTTGCCAGTGTGTTGTGTTTATTTGGTGGCTGTTATTGTTTTTGAATGCATAGACACACAAACAAAAGGACAAAACAAATCAAAAAGGCATTGATCTAAGTTAGCTTGATATTCGGAATTTCTAAGATGGTATATGTTTCCTTGAGAAGTCCCTATTTAAAGGTGCAGTTTTCTAAAAGCTGTCCCCTTGGTAATCCAAGTGAGCTGCATTGCCATTGATCTAAATGGGAAACTATTTAATATTTGACTAATTTAATATTTGCCTTGTCTGGCCACTGCCAGTAGAGGCTATAAACTTATTTGGAAGTCTCGTCTTTGGCTGGCAGGCTGTCCTTCAGATGTTTTATAGGAAGCTCGTGTGATATGTAACGGACATGACTTCTGACTGTATTGTGCTGCACACAGAAAGTTCGTTGTGTCCACAACGTCTCAGTCTGAGGTGTACAATGAGACAGTGTTGTCAAGCTCGTTTCCTTGCCATCCTGCCTACAGGGACTCATATCCGCACACCCAGGAACTGCGTCTCTTGGGCCGTTTTTCAATTTAAACTGACTCCGCACAGCCACTTAGGCTAGGGACGAGTGTTTGGCTAAATCAAAGGCGGGAACATGTGTGGAAAAGCATTTAGCACGTACAACCCTCGGTCTTGTAGCTGTCTCAGTTTCCTATCTGTTAGCCTTCTCTTCCCAAGGTGCTGAGGTGTGATATAGCCACATTTCTGTGTTGTAGTCTCCTGTATTTACCCAGAACCTGGTGCCTTTGGACATGAAAGGTGATTCTTCTAAATGTGTGTTTTTGGATTCCTCCGTCCTTCCCAGTGAAACACCCTGCCTAATAGCAATCCCTAGAGATCATGAGCCTTTCTTTCTAGTTCAAAAAGGATATATTATTATTTGTTATAAGATTATTGTTTTTACCACCCTTATGATGCTTATTATCACTTTTCTTCTTCTTCTTTTTTTTTTTTTTTGTTAACATAACAGCAGTGCTAGAATAACTTGTTAGAGACTCTGGAAACTAAAGCGCATACTCATTTATCCAACTTGGAATAACACTTTTTGCAGTCCACAAAATAGAAAGCTTAGGAGATGGAAGGTTGTGTGTATATTTGTCCACACAACAGATTGCTGGTAAAAGAAAGGCAGCTGCTCTTTCAACATTTTAGAAAGCCTCAATAGCCGTAATTGGATTTTCATATTAATGTATTACCACAACACTTTTATAAAAAGGGATTTATAAGTGACCACAGATGGTCAGGAATTCAGTTCAACATGTCTGAGAGCCATCTAAGTTCAGGACGTGATCATCTCATGCCTGGATTATCCCATGGTGTCTCCTCCCTTTCTTGTCCGTATCTCCCCTCTTTAATTTCTTGTTGAAATTTTGGCCTCCTCCATTAGAATGTCAGTTCCATGAGGAAGGATATTTGTGTGTCTCCCTCACTGCTGCACCTTCAGTGCCTAGAGTAGGATTTGGCACATCTACTGAGTAGATGCTCGGTCAGTAGGTGACCAAGGAAGCACAGAAACCCAAATGTGAACTTTTTCATGCTCAATGTGAAGATAAATATATATTCGAGTCAGCTTATGGCCAGGGGACCTGTCAGCACAATATGCCAGAAGCTAGTTGTGAGGTTTAATTAGCATCATTACCCAGGTTGGGTCAGAGGAATGACCCAGGCCAAATGCCACTGTTGTGATTACCCAGGTTCTCTCTTTTCCTTCCTTATATTTCCTCTTTTCTGTGCTGGTGAGGAGTGATATTCACCAGCAGCAAGAAGATTTCTGTGGTTATCACCTGCAGAGAATTGACCGTGCAGGATACAGTGGGGGACAATCCTACTCATGCCCCGCCGTGCTTATTTTTTTATTTTATTATGTTTGTTGTCTGTCTCCCCCAGCTAGAATATAAGCCCCACAAGGATAGGGTTTTCTGGTTTGCTTTAGTCACTGGTTTACCCCCAGTACCAACATTACACATGGTATCTGGAATATTGTAAGTTATCAACATTACATATACATATATCAATATTACTATATGCCATACAATCTGGTATATAGTAAGTTTCACATATTTCTCTAGGAAAGAATTAGGATGAACTCTCAACCTACTAGCATTATAGCTTCCTCAACATACTAATAGTGCATCGAATATTGGAAATGTGAGCTTTCACTACTGTCGATCCCAGCTGAGATTGTGAAAACCTGCATGCCTAGGCATTTACTTTGATGATGACTCCCGTGTTAGTGAGTGAGGTGATCTCAGTGCTGTGGCATTGCTCAGCCTCCCTCTGTGGTCCTGCCACCTCTTATACACAAGCTCACATTTCTCTGTCATACCTGTTTCCGTTGCAGGAAGAGGTGGAATTTTTGAGTCCCTCTAGATCACTTTTTTGTTGGGGAGTCCTCCTATCAGGGAACTATGACTGCGGATGTTCCTTATGCTCCTAATGGTCTGTGGAAGCCCCATGGACTTCTTGGGTTTGAGCAATTGGGTCATGACTTGTACCTTGAATCCTGACCAAGAGCTTTTCTTTCGCCAGCCTGCCATGTGATGACAAAAAGGTGCTTTTATGCTATATTTTTTAAAAATTGAGAGTGAGATAATAAATTTCACTTATTCCTTGGCATTTATTGTCAGAATTATAATTAAGCTTCATGTCCAACTATGAGGTAGTCAGTATAATAAATTTAATGCTTATATAACACTCTATGAAGATGATAATGCTTTTTACATTATCTAAAGTAATATGATGAATATGAAGGCAGGTAAATGGCTATTAGGTTAATAGACTAAAAGGACTGTTGTTTTGTCTGTCTAGCAAGCTTTCCCCCTTTGCTGTGGTAGCAGACCTTACCTCCCACCTCATGCATCCCATTGTAAGGATGAGCTCACATCCCAGGACTGGCCCATGATAGAAAGGTCTTCTCCAAGACGTAGGAAATGGGTTCAGTGACAGCCATCATGAAAGCCCAGAAGAAGAAAAAAGCATCACCCTCCCACAGCCAGTACAGAAATGTCAGTGAGGGACTCCAATGCTCCCGTTTGGGTTCCATGCCCTACTTGAGACCAATCTTTGTTGCCAGCATCATGAAATTCTATGGTAGGAGACAGTGCAGCCAACACACAAGAGAAGCAGAAGTAAGACGGTGGGTGGGTGTAGATGTTTCTCTGGTTTGTCCCCTATCCCAGCAGTTAGGGTCTGTTTTTGCTTAGGGTGTTTGAATTTGGTTTCTCTGAAAGAGTCTTATTTAATACACCACTGCTGTACTGAGAACTTAAGGGACTTTTCTAGACTAAACAGCAAAGATGGGGAGAAAAGCCACAGGCAAAGAAGCCTGGACCTTTGGTTTTAAATTCTTTCTTAAGCCCTCTCACTCCGTGTTCTCTTTCCATTCAGATGAAGTTTTTAATCATGGAATTAGTGTTCAGGCAACAGGAGGTTACTCAATTAACATTTACTGAATGTTTTATATACCAGTCACTTTGCTAAGCTCTGGGTATGCAGAAATAGGTAAGATACTTGTCTGACCTTCAGCAGTTTGCAGGCTAGAGGGAGACACTGACATGGGTATCTGGAAGCGATGAATGTCATTAAAGGGGGATTCAGGCGGAGCTACATCTGCCTGCAAGGGCCAAAGAAGGTATGACAGACCCAGAGTGAGCTATGTGTTTATTTTGGGTAGAGTCCTTCCCCAGAGTTACAGTGAAGAAATTTGCACAGATTCCTTTCATTGATGTCAGCTGTTTGCAAAGGATCTTTTTGCAAAAATGAGAGGAAAAGAAGAATTTATCCAGTTAGCCCAGAATGAACCAGTTCAGATTCTGAGCTGTTTTTGTGGACTACTAGAAAAGTTGCTAATATGTACTAGGGATATAGTTTGAGTCCCAGTGAACCTTCTGTGTGCTCACCTTTCATTGGTAATTCCCAATGGAGAGGGTGTGTTCAGGTCTCTTTGCCATCATGCGATGTGCAGGTATTGGGTGGGAATCTCCCAGGTCACCTCAGAAGCAGTTGGCCTCT